AAAAAAAAAAAAAAAAAAAAAAAAAAACATATCTTAGTAAAACCAATACCTTCTCAGCTTCGCATCGAAGCTAAAAACACTTCATATTAAAATAAATACCTACTCAACTTCGCTACGAAGTTAATATAATGTTGCTGACGTTAAAATTTGTTGCAATTGTTTCTTTCCTGTTTCAACGAATAATTTAACAAACGCAATAAATAGAAAAATCTCTCAGTAGTTTTTTTCTTTTTATAATAAATTCAAAGTGTTTTTTTTAGTGATGGGAAATATCGAATAGAAACTATCGAACTATTCGATAGTCATTCAAAAAATATTCGAATAGTAAAAATATTCGATAGTTACACAATATTCGAATAGTTTTAAAAACTATTCAATAGTCTATTCGAATAGTTTAAAATATTTGAAAATGCCCATCACTAATTTTTACTATTATTAATTGTATAATAATTTATTTATAAGTATTCGTTAATTATCTTCTTATTATAATTAAGTATACTTAATAAAAATTTTAGGTAGAACTAATCGAATATTTTTTAAAACCATTCGGTAGCCCATTCGAATAGTTTATGCTAAAAATAAACTATTCGGTTGTATAAAAACTATTCGAAAATGCCCATCACTACTTTTTTTCATTGATTGATATTGCGTCCTATTTTCCTTAATACGAAATTAGCAAAATAGCTCAATACAGAGCGACAGAGATGAATACAAGTACAGAGGAGAACATAAAAAATTTAACCAATTTTTCCATATATACTTAAAATACAATTTTTTTTTATTAAATAACATTAATTACATTAATAAAAATTTAATATAACTTTTAGGAAATTATTTTTATAAATTAATGATGTCAATTGTATTTTTAGCCACGGAAAAAATATGCAGCAATGACAATATAAAGTGTAAACTGATGGGGATAGAAAATCAACTTAATACACATAGTACAAAGACAAAGAGTGTACAATGCACAGAAAATGAGGTATGCGAAGTGGAATATGAAAAGTACTCAAAAAATATAACCGAAAAAAGTTTTTTTATAAATTTATGGTGTAATGAATTAAATACTTATTCTACAATGAAAAAAGATTTAAATGGTGTGTTTAAATACTATTTACCCGAAGGAAACTATTTGACAAAGTTATATTATTTGGAAGGCTTTGAAGGAAAAGAAGAAGTATTTGAATTTAAATAACTTAGATTGTTTCACTATTTAAACAAGTTTTTTTTTCTCAAAATTAAAACAGAAACTATTTTAAGTAATTCATGTTATGAGACATTCTTTTGTATAATTATATTTGTTTTATTTATTATCATAATTTTAATTAAAAATAATAGCTGTAATATGTTGTAATAATAGTATTAACGTGACAAAAATTATGTTATCATCTTATTACTTATATTATTGTGTATTAAAGGAAAATATTGTAAAATTTGATCACAATTAAACTATATGTCAATAAAAATATCTGGAAACACTAATGATGTTGGTCTCATAATTGAATTTAAAAAAAAAAGTATAAAAAGACGGGTAAACGGTGGTATTAAAAAACACTCGCACATAGAATCTCTCTGAGTCACATCATAAGTGTGAAGAGACACATTTTTAAAAGAAAAAAAAAGATTACTTTTTATTTGATGGAAACTTATTCAAAGGTAAGCAAAAACGCTGGGTATAAAATTTTAGTATAAACAATAAAGTTTAAATAAGTACTTTTGGTAAAATTGAATCCATATAGAGTAGATTTTATTTGAGCTGTTATTTTACGGCTGGCGATTGCTCTGGATTTTTGGTAAATTAAAATTTACACACACACATATATATGTGGTGATATTTCTTTACTTTGGGATTGTGTTAGTAAAAGAAAAACCCTCGGAACACCGACCTCGATATAAAAAGTAACTCAAAAAATAAGGAATTAGGCTTAGATCATAAAAGTCTCAATTATTTTAATATCTTTTCAAACAACATACCCATACAGATATATTATATTATATTTTTATTCTTTTAATATTTATATCCATACCTTTGTAAGTTACAACAAATAGAAACAAAAATATAAATGTTTTGCATGAAAATGATACTCCAGAATCAATTTAACATAAATATAGTAGATATTTAATTAATAAAATGAGTAAAATTCAAAAATAGAAAATAATGAAATGAATATGGTATATTTTTCGAGTATTGGATTATTTTTCAACATTGTATAATAAGATATATTTATTAATAATAACAATAATATTTTTAATACGAAATTAATCAGTCCAATAGCTGCGGATAATTAAATGTTATCATTTATTCATAATTATAGGTTAAGTTTAAATTCATTTTATTATTTAAATAAATCTTCTTCCTTTTACTTCTTATTTTTTTCACCTTAATATCAAAGACTTGTGGTCGGCTACCCTTATCCTAAAATTCCACTTGACACGATCTCCCACATCATCTACGCTCACACCAGCTGTCTTCATATCGTATTCAATAGCATCCCTCCATCTCTTTTTTGGTCTTCCTCTACCTCTTCTTGTTTCAACATTCATTTCTATAACTATTCTTACAGCTTCCGATTCTTCTCTCCTCATAACCTAGCCATCCTCATGACTCTAGCCAACTTCTTAGCCTTCTAAGATTTAAAATCCCTCTTCGCACCACCCGTTCTAACACTACATTCCTTATCCCCCTACCCCTTCTCATTTCCTTGACCCAACCCCAATGATTCGCCTTATGCGGTTAGTTAATAATGATCCAGCTTTCGATTTATTTTAATTAAGCCTCGTTTATGTTGTTTTAATTTTTATTTTGTATCAATGTATATAAATTTTCTTTTGTTACTTGTTTCTCACTAAAATTTATTAATGATGTTTATGATGACTGTTATATATATTTTGGGCTTTGCCTGTATACAATTTTATAAATAAATAAAAAAATAAATAAATAACATGACCAAATCATGTATGATTTTTCATACAATTTTTCTCTCATTTTATCTACGATTGACGATACACCTATTCTCACTCTTATGTGTTCCTTATCTTCTCTAGTCATTCCATTTATCCATTTATGCATTCTCGCCTCTGCTACACTCATTCTCTGTTTTATTTTCTTGTCAACCGCCCAACACTCTGAACCATACATCATAGCTGGTTTCATTACAGTCTTATAGAATTTACCTTACAGCCTCATTGGAATTCTTTTATCGCATAAGACACCAGACGCTTCTCTCCACTTTAACCACCTACACTTCATCTTGTATCTTACATTCTCGTCAATACCATCGCTCTTTTGCATAACTGATCCTAAAAACTTAAAACTTTTTACCTCTTGTATTGTCACTGAACTTTTCATTTCACCTACCTCGTGTTCTCCTCTGTCAAACTTATACTGTATATACTCTGTCTTACTTCTGCTTATTCATAAACCCTATTCTTCAAGTGCTGATCTCCATACCTCTAGCCTTTGATTAATTTCCTCTCTATTTTCTCTTATTAATACTAGATCGTCAGTGAACAATATGCACCACGGCTGCACTTCTCCTTGTATTTCTCTAGTATTTTCATCCATCACTGTAGAAAATAAGTAAGGACTTAAATCAGAACCTTGTTGCACTCCTATTCTTACCCTAAAATCTTGTATTACTGCCCTCACATTTTTTACCCGTGCCATCATACATATCTTCTATTATATAAATGTACCTTTTTTTTTTGACTCCTTTTCTCATTAATGCCCAAACCATTAATCTAACCTCTCTCGGTACTCTATCTTATGCTTTCTCCAAATCTATAAATACCATACACAGATTATTCTTCTATTCCCTAAACGTTTCTATTAGTTGCCTCATACAAAATAATGGCTCCATTGTTGACTTACCAGGCATAAAGTATATTAAGCATCACACGGTACATATAATTTTATATTGAATATTATTGCTTATTTATAATTTTCTTAATAATATTTTAAAATTATTTTATATATTTTTTATTGGATTGTATATAGAGTAAATTTAATAAACAACAGCCAGATAGAAAATTAACTAAAGACAAGACTAATTAATTTATATAAGTACAAGTGAATATTTTTATTATATTGACAACAACTAGATAGATAATTAAATTAAAGATAAACAAAGTTATTTCTATGATTACAAGTGAAAAGGTTTATTTTGTCTACTAAGTAAACAAATATGCATTAATTTAAAATGATTACCAAACTATTGTTTAAAAACTGAAATACAATTAAAAATTCAATTATATTAAAATAGACTAATACAATGATTAATAACTTACAATCTTATAATTGTTGTTATAATGAGTTCACCAGGAGCATGCATTAAGTTAAATTTATAATGAATTAAATATGCTTAAACATGCTTAAATTTGTGATATTTACAACTAAATTCGAAATGGTCAATTCTATAATACATAGACTTCTAGAAATCAATTAATTAATATTTATTTGATTTCTAAATTGCAAGATATTTATTTAACTTGTTGGTCAGAGGACCAATAGGATCAATTTATTAGCAAATTTTGTGATATAAGGAACAATGAGTGATATTGACAAATAATATTCAATTTTGTGAGTATTAATATGATTTTTAAATTAAGAAACCTGTTAGTTTCTGAAAAGACTAAAGAAATATAACTTTATGTAAATACAAGTGTGATTGTAGACAAGATATATGAAAAAAATTGAATATTAGCGACTGATCAACAATGAATTTTAATAATTATAGTTAATTTTGCAAGACATTTTGTAAATGAGTAAAACAATTATGAGATTTAACTAATAAAGTTTTCCCAGACCCCACAAAGGAGTATTAGAATTTTAGTGATTGGTTTCAATAATAATTGTCAGATTCTGACTTTGACTTTTAAATGTACTACTAAACAATATTTGATCAATATAACAACAACAAAATTTGTAATAATTAACTTAGATTACCAATAAACTAGTATTTTACTAAGAAATTTGAAATCAACCACGAGATTTCTAAAACTTGATTTAATAAATAAAGAGAAAATGTGTTGTAAGCAAAGTTCCCTACATTTTACAATATTAATGTTTATTACCATTAAAAATATGTCAATAATATGACAACCCAAATGTTGAAAAACATAAAAAAAAACAATAATTGTCAGTTAAAATAATGACGATTAAGCACGGATATACGAGAAAAAACTAAGACGACTGATCAACTAAAAAGAACAGAGTGATGATATTCAAGCGCATAACGGCTACTCTGATGGATTGACTTGACTAGTGATTAGAGAAACGAAGGGTGACTCATCAGTCTGACCAAGAATTAAAGATAGGCTTTGTTAGGCGCAAACAATATGTAAATACTCATTTTTTACTAATTAGTAATAATATCAAAAATTAAAAAAGATAGAAATAGTCTGATTGCAGATTTGAAAACAGCACGAATAGTTGAAAAAGAAAAGTAAATTATTACTTCAGATGAAAGTTTCTCGTAGTCCAGCGTATTTATTCATAAGTTACAACAATTTTTTACAAGTACTTTATTATTTATAATTTATCCGTGTATGTTACAATATTAAATTATTGGATATCAATTAAAATCTAAATATAATTACTATAATTATTATTTTTTAATATATTATACATTTAAATCAAAGTACTAATCTGGATATAATTAAGGAAATAGGATTTTATGTTGTTTTTTTTTTAATCATTCATCAATTTCTTAAAATTAAACACTATCTACAGATTTGCAACGAAGCGTTTCTTATGATAGTGATTTTAATCACTGTCAGATATCGTCTATAATTGTCCCAACTATGCCACATATCTAGTCGAACACATTACCCTTAAAAATTGAAAAAATTTCCCTCGTTCCCCGCAAATGGGCGAAATCTCCAAAAAAATTACAAATTTAATAATCGGTAAATTTTGTTATTTTTTAGAAAAACTAACTTTTTCAAATTAATTTTTGAAAATGTTCCGGAAATACTGCGTTCTTTAAACATATATCAAATTAAAGCTTATTTTATGTTCTATAAAATGAAAAAAAAATTTCAAATTGTCCCGACACTTTATCTTCTGCATGTAAACGGCTGCCGTAGTTAAAAAAACGCTATTTTTGTGTTAATATTTTCAACTTAAAAATGCTATAACTTTTCGAAAAATTTATGTATCAGCACAAAATTTTTATTTTATTTTATAGTGTATGACATAACCTTTGATTTGATATATGTTTAAAGGACGCAGTATTTCCGAAACATTTTCAAAAGTTAAGTTGAAAAAGTTCTATTTTTTATACAATGTTTCAAGTTTTGAACACCCTCTATATAAGGGGAAATTGTCCAATTTTAATAAAAAAGTATGTCAAATAATAGATGTATTTATAATGTATTTAGAAAAAAACATCATGGTAAAATTAATACCTACTCTGTTTCGCATCGAAGCTAAAATTAATATTATACATATTAGATATAATCAAGGAAATAGAAGTTGATGTTGCTGTTGTAATTATCCACCATTTTGTAAGAATTAAACACTATCTACAGATTTGCATCAAAGAGTTTCTTATGATAGTAATTTTAATCACTGTCAGATTAAATCTATACTGGACTCAACTATGCCACGTCCCCACTGTGCTTGGTTATTTAAAATTATATTTATGTAAAGAGCTGTGTTTTAATAATCATTTTATTTTATTATAAACTAAATTAATATTATTTATGTGTGAAGAGCACGTATTTCCTCTTTCTTTTAGCCAAAGTTCAGGGCGAGTGTCCAGACGGCTCTTGGCGTGTTATATTAATTTCTGATTAACATTAAAAGTTGTGTTCCAATACAGTCCGTGATATTTGTTATATTATTTGATTTTGTTTAAATTCTTTATTTTATTTTTGTTGTGTATTTTTGTAGACATGGTTTTTGATACATTCGTATTTTTGTGTTTAACTCCATTTTCTTTTTTTTAACGATTAAATTAAATTAATTAACTGAAGTAATCGCGTATATTTTATCCCTATTCCTTAATCTAGACACAAACTACGGTTGTTTTACATATCAATCATCTACAACTTGTAGGTCCCAGGTTTGTTGCAATTTTTCCACAAAATCAGTCGAGTTTTTTACATAGGAAGATGTTTTTTCAGTGTAAGTTTTCAAAATTTGTGCTAAGTGACCTTCCAGGTTATATGGTTAAATTGCAAACGGAGCTTTTCCGAACTTAGCCATTGCTCTTAGGAATTTTTTATGAGTCCCAATAACTTAATATACTACAGAACGCAGAATAAATACAAGATATTAAAATTGAGTGTTGAAAATTATGTTGTTTATGGATTTTTCATAAAACGCAAATTGTAAATTTTGTAAATTCTAAAAAGCGTTAAAATTATTTCTCCATCATAAAATTTTCACCAGACGTTTTAATTGTCTAAAAGAAAGTACAATGTAAATTTGAAAAAATTCGTTCAGTTACTTTTGTGTAATGAGATGATAAAGTTGGCTATTTTCAGCAAACCTTGCATATTCAAGACCGTAAAACGATACAAAAAAAATTATAAATCGATTCAAATATGATATGGGTTAAAAAAACATTGCTAAAAGTTTCTGAAAATAAAAAAAAAAATTTTGACCTTCAAATTTTGCTATTAAAATACAGCAAAATTTAAAAAATTTCGATGTTCAAAAAAATTCAAAATTTATAAACATAAGAATGAAATTGAAGTACTATTTAATGAGTAAAACAGTGCTAGTTCCACAGTGATACCTTATTTGGTTGTGAAGTTATAGGCTCTAGAACATAAGCTGTTTTTTCATGTTTTTAATTATAAAAAATACACTTTCTGGTAAAAAAACAATAAAAAAAAATATATATATTATTTTTGTTGTCAATGACCTTTAAGAAGTCTATGATATAAATTTCATAAATTTCTGAACTATACCAGCACACACATTAGGTGATTTCACATGGAATGACCCTTATATAATTAAAACATTTAGAAATTATTCTTAATAAAATATAAAAAATCAAAGCATATAATATAAGAGATGTACGACGGCAATGTGTCGCTTAACTCGATAGATGACTAAATCTTATACATTTTTATAATAGACTGCATTAGTAACACTACATAACCGAGAAAGGAATAAAAAGTATTTTTTTAAAACCCAACTCTTCTCCCAAGGCCGAAAGGAAGTAAACCAGGATTGTTACGTTTTAAACACTTCTTCTTTAAAATAATTTTTTATACATCAAAAATGTCAAAATTTACATAGGTTTTATGGTACATTTTAAACGTTATAAATTATTTATTTATGTATCAAACAGATTTAACATGTTTTTTACAACCCTATCCCAACATTTATTTTGTACATAATTTAGTTGATATATACAATCATTTTTTTTAATGGTTTACTTATTCAATTATAATTAGGATATTATATTGGGAAGTTAAAATTATTTATATAGTAGTATCTCAGTAACTCATATTAATTTATCATATTAAATGATTTATTTAATATAATGATTAAAAATGCTATTCACAAATTTGAATCGATGCGTTTTTTATGATAGTGATTTTAATCACTGTGAGATTCAAATTTATTCAAGTTCTTACTTCACCAAATCCCAACTGTGCGGAGTTGTTTTTTAACGAATTAGACATTATATGATACGTCAATTTTATCTATTAACTTTTAAAACTAAACCTTGAAAAAAACTGTAGGACAATTGAATGTTTATATGGCAAAAAATAATCCTATAACTTATTGTTAATTTTATAGATACAAAAAACTTTTAATAAATAATTATAATAATGATATTACAAAATATTTTTACAAATACAGTATTTATTTTAATAAAATTAGGAAATAAGGCACTTAATTTAAAAATGTAATGGCAAAAGATCACAATTTTTAAGTAATTTGCATTTAATGCAATATATGTTTGAAGTTTGTTTATCCAAAATTTTCAAAATGATGAATGAAGTATGGTAACTTTCGACCTTTATTTACTTCTTCACAAGCTGACATAACACTTTTGGTCAATGGTCTTGGACCACAACTAAATACACCTATTTTACTAACCTACAAAATAAAATAAAAATTAAGTTGCATTATAAGATTAAAAAAAATAATTCTTCACGTGTTACTTACATAGCTGTGTTTCTTTTGAACAAATTTCAAAAATGATGACATGTCTGGGCGACCGAAATGGTTTACAGCTTTTAAACCAGTAAACATACTCATTTTACTTAGTCGTTGAAAATGATTTTCACAAATATACTGCAAAAAAATAATAAAAATTCATGTACTTGAAATTAATTTATTCTATATTAATAAAAAAATCAATTTTCGTTAAAATATTTACCAGCATAGTTGTCCTCAGATCAAACTTGTGAAAAAATTGAGTAATAAATATATGAATTTCAAGAACATTGGTAACATCTTTTCTTTCGACATCTCGAAGCACGTCTATAAACCATTCGAAATGTTTGTGCGAAGGGCAAATCCACAAAAAGTATACCTATTAGTATTGGTTAAATTTGTATAGTTATTATAAATATGTTATGGGTAATAACAATAAATCATTTATTAAATTAAAAAAGTATAACAGATCAACACACTTTTTTACATGATACACCTGAATAACGGTTTGTTGAAGTACCAAAAACTAAATCATTTAAAATAGAAGCATATGGAGTCACTCCAATACCACCACCAACCATGACAGCAACTTCAAATTTATACCAGTCTTGATTTCCACCACCAAATGGTCCTTCCAGTCGTATCTAAAAGCACATATAAAATATTTTTATTTTTATTGTTAAATAAATTTAAATTATTTACTTTTGGTCGATGAAAATCAGGATTTATATTACTAGGATCAAAAAAGTTTCTAAGTTTCCACGTCCATTGTCCTTGCGCTTTTATATGACATGACAAAAAATTTTCGTGTGGAGCTGATGTTAACGTAAATGAATGATACTCAGTAGACTTTAAAGCTGTACAATTAAGCCGTACCCATTGGCCAGAAAGATATTTGAAGTTAGGTGGACGATAGAACTTAACTTTTAAAACATCTGATGGTAAAAGCTCTGTTTCCAAAATATCCAAAGCCATATATTTTGTCCTTAAACTGACCACTTTATCTAAAATAAATATTATTCCTGGACCTATGAAATATTTCCAGAAAGTAGGAGGTCCTGTTATTCTTCCTAGTCCATGCAACAACATGAGTACATACATAGCTACGTACAGGCAATGAGTAGACCAGAAGTATGTGTATGCTTTTTTTCGAATGATCGGATGAGCAAATGTATATATAATTATCATAATAACAAATAAGAGTACTCCAGTAATACCTAAAAATTGATACTTAATATTAATTATCAAAATATGAAGTAAAGAAAATGTATTAATTTATTACCAGTTATTGTTTTAAAAAGCCAAAATGATATTCCAGGTTTGTAATCTGACGGAAAATGTATTTCAGACGTTAAACAGTGAATGTGTTCTAGAGGTTGTGTTGAAACATGATAAAAGTTGATGATATGACCAACTGTGTGTATAATTGAAAAAAAAAATGCAGTACAAGCTACTACTTTATGGAATGGTATATGTGAATCTAAAGGTATGTATTGTTGAATGGAAAAATCTTTTAATTTAGTTAGTAAATTTCTTGACATGCTTAACAACAACAGACTATAACCGAATGAAAGTGAAGCAGCAGAACCTCTAGTTAGGGCTATCCCTACTCCCATTATATGTCGGAGATCTGTGTGTTCTGCCAAAAATGAGTAATCTGGAAAAAATCAATGAATTATGACTAAATGTATATTAAATAGTGAATATATAACACATACATATAAACTGATGAACAAATAACGATATAGTTATAACGTAGTAGATAAATAAATAAAATATATTTTGTCGATTTTCTTCTAAGTATGTTACTACACAGTCTATGTGGGATTTTATTTTTCCTTTGTCATCGTGCATTGAAGGATCGACGTGGAAACTAGTCATTCTTAAAATAAAATAGTTTTTATTACTACGAATATAATAATAATACAGTTTATTCTCTAAACAATTTTATATTACGTATAATACATAACGTATTCAATTCATAGGCGTGCGCTCAGGGACAAGGTGCTTTTGCTGCATCCGACTGATCTAGTTATATTAAATGAGCCGTTTAGAGTCAATCAAGGTGGTTACATTTTAAACATATTAAAAATACCAAAATTTTCGAATTTTATATTGGTCTAATGGAAGATATAAACTGTTTATCTATATTTTAAACGTGTTTTTAACAACCTTAGAGTCAACATGAGATGTTCAGACATGGTGCTATCTAAGAAATCTCCAAACAATATTTGACTAGAAAATAGCTAGACTCGAAAAAATTGAATTTAGAACATTTTTAACTTTAAATTTTTCAATGATGTAATAACTTTTAAGATACAGTCATTACAATAAATTAAAGTTAAATATTCTTAAAAAAATATATTATTATATGTTCACAAAATATTGTTTGATATTGTTCATTGCTTCAATTATATAATTCTTATTTAGTACTAGTAAGATGTTTTTTTAATTAATGACTATGATTAATGTAAACTTTAATTTTATTTAACGTGTAAAATGTTAAATAATTTGTTTTTTTGTTAAAAGGGCACTTAGATTCATAGATAACGGGGGAAGGTACTTAGCGCATAGTGCCCTTCTATGGTTTAAGAAAGTGATATTTATTTTTTACAAAAAAAATTAGGATGGGGGAAAATCAATTTAGCTCTTTATCTTTTTTATGGATTTCTGCCAATGCACAAGTTCTATTGTAAAATTATGAGACATATGCCCTTTTAACAAAAAGCAATTCGAATATAAGTTAAAATAAAATGTTCTAGTGATGGTTTTACCTATAAAGAGAAAGGTAGTACTAAAAGAGGGTAATTACTTACTCCTGAAATAATTAGGGATGATTAATTGAGACTATAAATATTAAGAAATTTTTTTTTTAGTGTGCCGTTATGTCTTCCCCGGCCGGGGATGATTAAATTATTTACATGGATACATATTCCTCGTAAGCATAACTTTTAATGGGAATGTTAAGTTCTAAATAGAAATTTATTATGCAAAAATAAATTACCGAGCTACATTCGTGGATGTATCTAAAAAATTTTGTTTGGCTCCTTTACAGTCTAAACCTATGGCGACAAAATCTCCTTTGTATTCTTTCATCATTAGTTTAAAATCAGCATAAGTCAAAAAGTCTTTATTTGAAAGTCCCGCATTCTATCAAAATTAATATCGAGTATAAGAACAAATAATAGTTTTTTTTTTGTGTTATATTGCTAGTTACTTGAAACATTCCATCAATTAATTCTGTCACGTGAGCATCAGAAAGGCTTGTAGTTCTAGCAATTTCAACTAATGAACGGAGCATTTCAGAAAACTCTCCTTTATCTATTACACCATTTCGATCATTATCACACATGTCAAATATTATTCGAAGTTTGTCTTCAGTTTTACCTCGAGAAAACAATACTACAGTATCTAAAAATTCCTAGAAAACAAAATAAGTAATTTTATAGTAAAATATTGTCATAAAATAATATTTTAATTATCATACTTGGAATGAAATTCTTCCGTCCCCATCTTTGTCAACAATATTAAACATCATGCGAACAAATACGGCATCAGATTTCATTCCCAAAGCTGAAGCAAATTCCGCTTTAGATAGAGAAGTTCTCATTACAACCTAAAAATATACTATTTTAACATTTTGGTTTATTCAAAATTAAATTTTATACTCTGATTAAAATAATTAAAATGCCAATTATTAATTATAACATGATTATTAGGGCATGATTATTTTATGTGGAAGAGAGAAAGCGTAAAGCTAGTAAAAGATTGTAAAGTAATACCAGACGAGAGTGTAACTACACAACATAGATTGATGGTAATGGAATTGTGGTGTACCGGAAAGAGAATAAACAAAAATAGAAGAAACACATGGGAAAAATCGAAGATCCGGTGGTGGAAATTGAAAGGGGAAAATGAAAAAGAGTTTGTAAAGAGAGGACGGTGTGGAATGTCGAGGGAGACATAAATGATGTGTGATATAGATTTGGTTGTTGTGTAAAGAATACTGCAAAGGAGATTGTTGGTGAGGTAGGAGTAGAATACCAAGAAACAAGGAAACTTGGTGGTGGGATGAGGGACGTTCAAAAAACCACAGAAAGTAAGAAAAAGCAATTCAAAGTATGGCAGAATAGCAAAAGGAGAGAAGATTGGATGGAGTATAAACGCTTGTGCAAATAAGCCAAGTGTGCAGTAAGTAAGGCGAAGTTTAAGAGGTATGATGGGTTGTATGATAGGCTAGGAACAAAAGAAGGCGAGAAAAAAATCTATAGACTTGCAAAGATAAGAGAGTAAAGGTCTAAAGATTATCATTATATAAGGTGTTGACAATAAGGTACTCTCGAGTGATGATGATGTGAAAAACGGTGGAAAGAGTATTTTAAAAAATTATTGAACGAGGAGTACCCAAAAGAGACATTAGAAGATATCTTGTGGAATGAGAGAATAATAGATTTAATTAGTGAGAAGAGGTATCGGAGGCTGTGGCATCAATGAGAAAGAATAAAGCAGTGGGACCAGATGAAGTGCCAGTAGAAGTATGGAAAATATTAGCCGGTGTTGGCATAAGGTGGTTGAAGGAACTTTTAAATAAAATCTTATTAGAAGGGAAAATACCAAATGAATTAAAGCTTATGAGTCATAGTATGGAAATTTGAGAAACAGAAATAGATAAGAGAATAAGAAATGAGACATCGGTATCTAAAAACCAGTTGGGATTTATGCCTGGTAAGTCAACAAAGGAGCCAGTATTTTGTGTGTGAGGCAACTAATAGAAAAGTTTAGGGAAAAGAAGAAAAAGCTGTGTATGGTATTTATAGATTTGAAGAAAGCGTATGACAGAGAACCGAGAGAGGTTTTAAAGTGGGCATTAATGAGAAAAGGAGTCCCGAAAAGGTACATTAATATAATAGAAGATATGTATGATGGCACTTGTACCAGGGTAAATAGCGTAGGAGGAGTATCAGAAGGTTTATAGGTGTATCGTCAATCGTGGATAAGACAAGAGAAAATAGACTTAGATGGTTTGGTCATGTTATGAGAAGACAGGAATCAGAAGTGGTAAGAACAGTTATAAAAATGAATATTGAAGGAAGAAGAAGTAGAGGAAGACCAAAATAGAAATGGAGATATTTTATGGAATGTAATATGATAACGACTGATGTGAGCGTAAAGGATGTGGGAGATCGTGTCAAGTAGAAGTTTAGGATAAGGATGACCGACCCCAAGTAATTGGGATTAAGATGAGGAAGAAGAAGAAGAAGAAGACATGATTAATTATCTACTAGTATTAGTAGTATTATTATATACAGAGTGTTCAGTAAGTCAGGAAACGGGTTTCTATTGTTCTCATTATTTGTAACAATGAGAACAATAGAAACCCGTTTCCTGACTTACTGAACACCCTGTATAGTAATTAATATACTAGTAATTTTCAAGTGTTTGCATTTTTTTTGTTACTTCTCGGAAAATTTTGTTATACAAGGAAAGATATTGATTTTTTCAGAATCTATTGAAAGCTTTTAATTTTTGTAAAGAAAATTATTATTTGATTTGAAAAACTATAATATTTTGTAGTCAATAATATTGCTTAGACAATTTAGGGGAAAAAACTGCACAAGTTCGCCGGCTGGTATCAAACACTTTATTCCTTAGGCCTTCCCCGTTTTTAACTACTTTCTGTTGTCCCCACGTACATCCGAAATGGGCACAATCCGCCTAATTTTGGTCAGGATACCTCATACTTTATTGACAATAATTTTTACGCCGACTGTTGACGTGACGCAACCTCATTTTTACTATTTACATATTTACTATTTACATTAAATTTATTTTCTGTACATTACACTTCTTGACAGGTAAATAAGTTTTTATATCATAAATAATTTTAATAGTTATTCATATATAATAAATATATATTGTTTTCGATCTAATAATAATACTAAATAATAAAATTTTTATCACACTATTCGGTAGAATGCACATTTTCAGTTTTAAATTTCATTTTATCAGTATTCAAATACATTTTTTCTTTACAAAAGCATATTTAATAAGTATATTAAGTATATAAATATATACTGATTTCATAGTTTTTTATTGAATGATTTTTTCAGCCCTCGCCGATATTTGTTATGTAAATAATAGTATATATGTTCTTTTTAAACTGTACTCGTTAATACATTTACTCTAATATAAGCCCGTTGTTTATGGGATAAAAATTTAATTAAACTAAAAATATCTAATTACTTCTCCATCTTCATCTCCACGTCTTCTTTCACCAGGCTTAAGGCCAAATGTAAGAGCATAAGCTTCTCTGAAAAAATGTTCTAGTCTTCGTTGACGTCTTTCACGTGTTTCTGCTTGAGCCAGTAAAAAATCTCTGGGTGCTTGCAAAGTTACTAAATGCTTTTTATGAGAATTTAAAAAAGCTTCTAATTTATTAACAAATTTTCTTCTTTCACCAATTGAATCGAATTCAAGAACGAGATCGTGGTCTTTCGGAACACGAATCAATACTAATGGACGTTTCTTTTTACTATTTTCTACCTGTAAAATTGAAAAAAAAAATTAATTTATAGGTACGCATATATATTAACACAAACATTAAAATAATTTTTAGGGTGCTAAATGTAATTTTTTTAAATTTTATGGATATTAATTGAGATTGTGAAGATGCTAAGTATCCTGAATAACTCTGAAATTGGCACAAATGTGCATATACATTTAGGATGACCCTTAGCTACATAAGAGGTTTTTTTTTTTAATATTTGTAAGTGCCACCCCCTAGAATTATTCGAATACATAATTATACAAAATAAATTTTACAAAATTTGGAGACGATTGGTCAACTGTAAGACGTGACCCAAGGGGATTAAAAATAACCCCTATGGGTGATTTTTTAGTTTTTTTTTGTCTATCTCAAAAACTTTAGCTTTTGCGAAAAAGTTTATTTGAACTTTTTTGTAGGTATACAATTTTTCTATAAAAAGTATATTTACAAAATTTTTCGAAAAGTTGTTATTTAGCCCTAAAAAAATAAAAACGTATATGTTCTATTCTTACCATTTAAATTGTTAATTTATAAATCGTTTATTGTAAAAACAAAAACAAATTCATTTAACCGTTGTTTTAAATTTAATTTTCTATACATTTTTAATTCGACATTTTTTCTTTTACTTATTATTCAAAACCTACAATTTCTTTAATTTTAATTAAAAAAAACACACCAGAGTAAAAGTAATACCGTCTCAGCCTCACATTGAAGCTAATTTTTTTGTTTCGGGGCCAATTTGAATTGTCAATCAAAGAGTTAAATAATATTCGTTCATTATGTATTTTTATTACAAGTTTATATAGTTTCGGATTGTATATAAATTTATAAGTTAACATTATTTTATTTTTTTAGGGCTAAATAAGAATTTTTCAAAAATTTTTGTAAATATACTTTTTATAGAAAAATTGTATACCTACAAAAAAGTTCAAATAAACTTTTTCGCAAAAGCTAAAGTTTTTGAGATAGACAAAAAAAAACTAAAAAATCACCCATAGGGGTTATTTTTAAGCCCATTGGGGTACGCTTATAGTTGACCAATGGTCTCCAAATTTTGTAAAATTTATTTTTTCATGTATTCGAATAATTCTAGGGAGTAATTTTTAAATTTTATAAATAAGGGGCACCCTATATGTATATTATACATATTATAGATACAAGTGCATTTATATATTTTTTTTTTAAGAATACGAAAAATATTTTACTTGTGATTCTTCAACAGTTATTGTGTCACAACCCTCAAAATTAACTGATCTCAATTTTTCACCCTTACGATCAACAGTATGAATATACGCCTGTGGCCCGAATCTCACTTTTACTAAACGTCTATGATTTGCATGTAACCATTCTCTAACAGACATTTTATCAACCATAATGCCATTTGATTTATTACCAGACTTCATTTCTTCTTGTTTCATTCTGAGATGTCTTTTTCGTTTATTTTGAAGTTTAACTACACCATAACCAGCTCCGGCACAAATAAGAGGGACGACTCCTAAGAATATACATGCATATATGTACGCTAGTTCATTTCCCTAAAATAAGAAATATGTTAGATATTTTTAGTTGTATTATTATGAAAAATGAATGAATTGATTACTTCAAAATAATCAAACCCCTTTAAGTAAGAACAGGGCTCTAACATTGACGGCTCAATTTGACTAGGTTGAGGACATGGATCTCCATCATTCCAGAAAAATACTTCTCGTTGTATAGTTCCTGGTTCTATGTTAGAACTATTCACTATTATATCCCAAAGTGTAACTGAACGAATCCATTCTATTTCCTGGTTTGTAAAAATTCTGAAAAATATTTAACACGATTATAAAGAGATATATAAATATACAGTGATCTACCAGGTTCTGACATTTTTAATAATTTTCAATCTAGCGAATATTTTACCTTACTTCAATTTAAAATAATTTATATAGTTTTGGACTAAGTTAAATATATTTTTGAACTATTTATGCCAAAAATTTGTTCATTTTTCTCAATTTAAAAAGTCATTTTTCAACTCTTTTTTTACAAAAAGTTTTATTGGATCGATAACATTAGGATAGGTACTTATTAAGTACCTTTTAATACGTAGAGTAGATATGAAATGCGGGCAGAGTATACTTATAATAGTTGAGCTACACATACCCTCACTACATTCTCACTCTATGTGTTTGAATGCCTGTAACTCAATGAGTTTTATACTTTTTCTTTTTCCTTGCCTTATTCCCAACTACTTTGGGTCGATCACCCTTATCCTAAACTTCTACTTGACACGATCTCCCACATCCTTTACGCTCACATCAGTCGTTCTCATATTGCATTCCATAACATATCTCCATTTCTATTTTGGTCTTCTTCTACCTCTTCTTCCTTCAATATTCATTTTTATAACTGTTCTTACCACTTCTGATTCATGTCTTCTCTTAACATGACCAAACCATCTAAGTCTATTTTCTCTCGTCTTATCCACGATTGACGATACACCTATAAGCCTTGTTATATGTTCATTCCTTATCTTATCTTCTCTAGTCATTCCACTCATCCATCTAAGCATTCTCATCTCTGTTACACTCATTTTCTGCTCTACTCTCTTGTTCACCGTCCAACACCCTAAAATATACATCATAGCTCGTCTCACTTCAGTGTCTTGTAGAATTTACCTTTCATTGAAATCCTTCTATGGCATAAGACAGCAGACGTTTCTCCTCACTTCAAACCCCCGCACTTAAACCTGTGTCTAACATTATTAACTGAATAAGTACTTGTCATAAAATTGTTTTCGGTCCATTTAAATTTTTTACATGAAAAACTCTTTTCATGCAAAAAATTAATAAATGGTTATTTTTATATGTTGAAAAAATACAAATATATATTTGGTATCCTAACCTGTTCTGACATCTTAAATAACTTTTAATCTAGTGAATATTTTGCATTACATCTTTTTATTTATGATTTTTACTGTTTTCGACTACGTTTAAGATATAATTTTTATTATTTGTCTAAAAGAAAAAAAATGTTTGAAAATATAAAATATTCCTTTTTTTACAAAGTATGTTGATTGTTTGATAACAACTTTAAGATAAGTATATATTAAATTGCAAGCATTTTAATACACTTAGTGAGTATGAACACAGGTGGGTACAACTCGTACTGATGTGAATTTATATTGCATATTCCAATCACTTCATTTAAAATGCTTGCAACTCCATAAATATTTATCCTAAAGTTGTATCGACCCATCAAAATGCTTTTTTAAAATGAACTAAAAATGAATATTTTGAATATTCAAAAAATAATAATATAATTGTTAGATTCAAACAATAAAAATTATGTTTTAAATTGTAAAAATTTTGAAAAAATAAAATAACGCGAAATTTTTGATGAATCAAAAGTTATTAAAGATTTTAGAACAGACAAGAAGACCTTTTGTATACGTTATTTAAACTCTAAAATAATTATTCCTTAAACATAAATACTACTTCAAAAATTGTTATACTTACTCGTTTTTAACGTTTTCAAACCAAAACCTATCTGAATCTCTAATTCGAATAAATTGATCTAAAATAATAGCAGTGAACAATTCTCCTGGTCCATCTTTAGATTCTAACATTCCACCAATGTACAAATCAATATCATCAACGCTTCCGTATGCTTCTTCTAATTTAGTAGCTAAATTCGGATGTCGCTCAAAAAATTCTCTATTTATGTCTTCAAAATTTTTAACGCGAGGAAGTTGAAAATACGTTCTTATCTAGAAATTTATCTTAAAAATAATCGTTTTGTTATTAATCTAATAAAAAATTGTTTCATCACTCACTGTATTATAATCTGCTAGTCCATTGTCTCTACCTCTCATTATATTTAGAGCTCCCAAATCTCTTCGTGAAAATTCATTAGGCCCAAACAATTTATCTCGTACGTCTGAACAAAGTACAGCATCTTCACGTTCAGCCAATTGAGAAGCCATTCCCAACATAAATTCTTCTATACTGCTATCAGACATCACGTCCTGTAATGAAATAAGTTATTAAAATAAAAACTAAAAAAAAATCATACTAAATAAATAACAATAAAATAAAAGTAAAATTAAAACTATATTAAAAATATTATTAATTTAAAAAACTAAAAAATATTAAACTCAAAGCCACAAAAAAATTAATGAATTCATTAATATTTTTTAGTTTTTTAAATTAATAATATTTTTAATGTAGTTTTAATTTTACTTAATTAATTAGCCACAAGTGATCAATTTTTATTAAACAATAAAATACTTACACTCGAATCCCACCAATATGCACAAAGCCTCAAAGCAGGATTACCCATAGCTGTTTTTCTATAATTACAATTTCCATCTCTTCTGTAAATACCGGGTGGTATCATTGTATGTCCAAAACGGAATGCAGCAGATTGAAATGAATGACTAACACCAGGATGTACATCTAATTTATATTCTGTGTATTCTGGTAGTTCTTGTCCCAAAAATGCTGGTATATATTCATAAGCTATAATGTTCTGAAAAAAATAACATTATTATTCCTAAATAAATATGACTTTATATAGATTATTTACTTGAAGAGTTCCTATAACTAAACGTCTTGCCTTTTGAAAAACCTCTTCGTCTGACCAATCTGGATGTTCGTTCTGTACTTTACCAGCAAGAACGTTGTGCCATTTAAAAAGTAATATTCCAAAAGATAATAATGCAGGATTTTGATTGCTTCTAGGATCTCCCAAAACTAAATAATAATTTATTTTCTATGTTACTTTTATATATATATATATATATATAAAAGTAACGGGACGGTGTGGCCGAGTCGGTAACGCGGCAGCGCTTGACGCGTAGTGTCTCAGGTTCAAAACTCGGTCACGGGCGGCTTCATTTACCGAACGAGAGATCAGTTCGGTAATTTGGAGTCGCCATCCCACCTCCGGCGACGGACNGAACAGGATTATTAAATAAAGGTACTCTTTTTGTATTCCTAACAGGAAACCCAGTAATTGGATCACTTAAAAGAGTGCCATTTTTAAATGATCGCATAGCATTTACCCATGCTTCACTTGTACTATAAATAAAACTGCCGTCAATCCAACTGGTAACTCTGTTTATCTATTACACAAGTAATGAGTTATTTTTCTAACACTAAATAAATAATAAAACAATTTTATAATAGTACTTGCTGTCTCGGCGAATTGGGACTTTGACCAGTATACCGATCATAACCCGCCCTGTGAAATGGTATCGATTTTCCGCCTTCACATTCATGATCGTACATATCATCGCATTTCTCAATCTCAATATTATGTACTTCAATTGGACAGCCACTTTCGCTACCCATTACAATTTCTGAACTCACGACTTGACCTATCAAAATATATTTACTGTAAATTATAAAGGTAATGTACAAATAAAATTGTAAACTAAAATAATGTTATAAATTAAAATATTTTAATATGTTTACTTACCGAAAAATGCTAGTAAAGCTGTCCGGTTATTGGATGATGGGAGACCATCTGAACCTTTCATAAATAACGAACTCAATTTTCTAGGGCTAGGTCTATTTTCACCGGCCATCATGTATACTCCATCGGAATATGCAGAAGGCGATTTTCTAGTCAATTGACTATCTAAGAACAAAATTATGTTAGTTAAACTTAAAGAAATTTTTTTTGGTCAATTGAAAATTTATTGAAATAAAAAAATTACCTAAAAAGAACATTTTTAGAATGAGAACCTAACGCGCTTTTGCATAAGAGTTTAGGAAGAATGATTATTTTGAAGAGAATTTGTCGTAGTTAATCCAAAAAAGACTACTTTTATACATCATCTTCATCAGTTAAACTAATATCTCCAGCAGTTTTAAATGTATTTTGGTGAATCATTTTGTAATTAAATGTTTTATACATTCGTATTTAAATACTCAAAATTAACTTCTAATTATGAAAGTAATTAGTTAGAATATTACTCTAGCACACTATTTTCAATATTTTAGTGAACCTTTAAGCAAACTTAGAGAAATAAATTTACTATTTAAATAAATAAAATATTTATTAAATTAGTGTAACTTTATTTTTTCTTTCAATATTTGTTTAAAGCGTTGTCTCTAGATTATTAAAAATGAATAATTAGTATAACTTGTAATTATGATAATATTCAAACATATATCAATTAAATTTAACTTTTATGAAGCCAAAACAGTTCTTTTACACTTAGGTAAAAAATATCTACCAACCTTATTTCCCCTTTCATAAAATATAGAACAATATTAATTTCTAAAAATACAAACATATATTGTATTTTATATTTTTAAAGATGTCGTGTAAATCATAGTTAAGCAATCACTCTAAATAATAGAAAGTATACATTGTAAATATACTTAAAAATCAATTCAAATAGTTAAGAAGTCTGAACACAATAATATAAACGCAATCAAATAGTGACCTTGCTACAATTTCGTGTCGAAACCAAAAGGCCTTCATATCATAAAAAAAAAAAAACAGTATTAATAGCGAATAATACAGATGCAATTTTTCATAACGACTAAGATCAGCATTATTAGTTGTTAAATAAAACAAATCATTAAAAAATGAATATTTATAATATTACATTACATGGATATGTATTAAAATTATTATTATTTTATAGCAATTCCACAAATATTTACTTAATTATTATAAAAATAAATAAATATCTACTTAGATCTATTAAGATTTTATTTTTATTTATAACAAACATTTTTTTTATAAAATTCAAAAATTGATTACCATAGTTTCAAATAAAGTTACTGAAATAAAATTAAAAAATGTTCTATACAACTTAATCATCAAGTATTAAACTAACTTTTAAAATTTCCATTTTTAATAATATATTATTTATATATAAAATTTTAATGTTTATTGGGTATTAAAAAAAAATCATCTAACTTGATTGATGTAAATATTAGTTTTTTAATTAGATCTATTAATTATTGCATCATTTAAAAATTTGCATTTAAAATTATTCATATAGGCTAAAAATTATAACTATTTTAGTTATGTGTGTGCATAACGCAGTATCTTAGTAGGCGACAAATCCATTTTTGGATGAGTTTCCAGGTTTGAATGACTCATCATACCGAATATTTTATATATAAAACGGAAAGACGAGATGTGATATGGATTAAATGAATTTTAGTAAGTATTATAATAAATAATTGTATCAATTGAATAATAATTTTGTTTATCATTAGTTGTCATATTAAGTAATCAAATATATCAAATCAGTTAATTGTTTGGGTAGGTATTTTTTTAAATAACAATAGAACCTTTTTTAAGTAATTTATAGCTTATTTCTGTATACTTATTTTTTAAGAAAATGTCATATTTGTTACAAAGACTAAAATTTGTTAGCAAAAAATGTTCAGGAAGTAAAAATATATATATATTTTTTAATACGAAATTAAGTATAATTGAAAAATTTATATTCACATATATTGGATCCTTGACACTGAATCCAGGTTAAAACCGCATAATTACTTAGATGTTAGACTATAGTAACCACAAATACGTAATACAGTAAAACTGTAACACTGAAAAATTATATTGTACAATACTTATACTAGATATTTATTTAATGTTGAAGGTAAATAAAATAACATAAATTGCTTAAAAGTAAAAACGATAACATAATATTAGTTTAGAGAATACGAACGGCATGATAACCTTCATTATCAGGATTCGATTTTTATAATATTATTAATTGCAAGTCGGCATACCGTCCAGCTGATGGCATTGACGATTGATGTTATTAATGATAGATCAGAGATCTAGATCGCAACCTACTAGAAGTTCCTGGGGAACCGTGATCAATAATTTTTTATAATTTCAAACTGAATGAAAGTAGCAACACTTTTCGCGACACCATTTAAAGATATTTTACTAGTCCAAGTGTAGAAACGACGGGTTGAACAACTTTTAAGTATAGTCAATTTTTGTAATGCATCAAATCCCTAGCGCGTGCAAGTTCAAAACCAATCTTGTACCTTATTGACATTTGAATTTTAGTTTAAACCGAAAAAATACATTAGTAAAATTTCATTACTAATTATTTACTTACCAATTGAACCCCAATTAGGATGCGCCAAGTTGTTGAACCATCCATCATATCTCTGCTTTTCTGTGAAGCTGAATTTTTTTTCTGTAATTATTAAAACAATTTGAATTAGTTATTAGTTAAGACAAACGTAATACAAACATTTCAGATGCTAGTTAACATAGTACACATCTATGTGACCTGATTATTTTCGGCAATGACCTTAATGAGCTCACGTAAACACGTAAACGGTCATTAATATAATGCTAAGGAAAAATTACTTTTTTGAATACGACATTGTCGCTGTACTCTTAAGAAACTCTGAGTGCATTGAGGTAAGATAATTTTGCTTGTTATTGTCTATCGTGCATTGCTGTCTGGCACATTAAGGAAATCATGCGACGGTCACGATAATTCAGAAGATATCGTGTGTGAATGTCTTCAGCGGAAAGTCCTATGGTATATAAAACACTGCACACGCCCTTAACGAATAGGCAACGACAAGGTCAATCAAAGCGGAATTAAAATAATATTATTATGGACATCGTATTTTGAGTAATATGTCGTAACTATTTTTCTATACTGGTCGATTACTATTAGTATTGTTAACTGAAAGTATGTGTATGTATTATCATCGAATAGTTATAATTAAATGCGAGGTATAGATATTCATTTTTCTAATGATTACACAATTAACCATGCAGATACAATGCAGTTACGAAAATATGCATACACGTCCCACAAATCTATAAAAATCGCTAAAACTATTTAAAAAAGAAGCAATATGAAACTAAAAGTACAATGGCGATAAAATAGGCTTCTTTAATTAATGTATACGTTATATGCGTTCACAGCGGGCGGAACAACTAATTGATACCGTTTAATGCTGACAATGTCGAACGAACCACAGGCGTTTCTTCGTTATTGTCAACGGTATATATTGTGATTCATAATTCCGAATAAGCTTATCTTGATTTGCATAACATGAATGTAGTGCATATAGCCAACGGCTAAATAATCTAGGCCAGGTAGATTTCGTAATGTAATGCACTTTCAATACAAAACAGTAAATCAGTAAAATACAAAAGATTCCAAAACTAATTTGCATTTTATTGTAAATAAAACATAAGTAGCCCTAATACTTGCGTTAAGCTATTCGAGTTTATTGTACAATAAAATTTACAGTAGTTATTTGAAATGATTTGTATTAACAAATAAAATCTAGGGAACACTAATCATGAACTCGTTGCGAAGATTATTTATTATTAATGAGCAGTTCTTTAAGTTTTTACATATTTTTATTGGCTTTATGCAGCTATTTAATTTTTGCTAAATTTGTGTATTATTAAAAAAAATTATAAGTTATTACATTTATTGCCAAAAAAATTGTGTACAGAAATTAGATATTTATGAAGTCATTTGTAAGTATATACATATTTATTAATTATTATTGTAACTTGTGAACAAACTATGAATTATTTTAAATTAAAAAAAAAACCATATTATCTCCACACTCACTCATTACGTTTAAAGAATATTTTAGGGTTTTTTGGAGGAATATTAGTATTATATTTTAAGCTTTATATAACCTAAAAATCCGCTTTATATTCATCATTATTTATTTTCAAATGACAACGATATCAATCATGCCAAATACATTTCAAAATAATCAATTTTTATTAAAAACACTTAATTAACATTAAATATAAAATATTCAGCATCATATATAGTATTGCATAAATTTATTAAAAGTAGGTTTTATAAATATTAAATAATTTCAGAATTATTTTTAGCATTTATTTGATAGGTATATAAATAAGTAAATAAATATATCCAAAAAGTGTATTGCGAAATAAATAGTTATCTTATGAACCTCAAATAATTACATAACTATTATCAATAAAATTTAAATGACCTATATAAAAAGAATTTAAATTGACAGCGATGTATCATATAAGAGATTAATTTCTTTACATATGATATCTTGGAAGTAATGAAACTAAACTTAATATTTCAGCATTAAAAATATTTTTTGTATTACATAATTAAAATATTTTGTATTTTTTTCAGTGTCATTTTGTTTCAATCGTAGTGACAACGTTTTCTGTAACTTAAAAACCTTGGTAAAGGACATGCGTGTTTTAATGCTCTAATTTATATATATATATTAAAGCATTTTTTTAAAAATAATTTACCAGACGTGTTTACTTTTAAAAGGTAAGAAATAAGTAATTTATCTGTTATGGCACGATAAATAATTATTATTTCCATTCAACATTATGTTATTGTTGTGACTTAAATAGTCGCAAAGAAAGATACAAAAATAAAGTCACAATATAAGTATTTTTTTTTACATTTATAATAAAACTATCAACTATTATAATAATATAAACATTATTTTCGCTATTAGAATTTTTTAACCAAAAAATGTGATAATTTAAGTAGGAATTTGAAAATCTAAAATAAATATTGATAGACAAAAATCATATTTTGTTAAAGTCAATATTATTATTATTATTAGAATGAACAAAAAACTAGCATTAATCGCTTTCACAATAACTACGATTGAGCTACACAGACAACTTTTTTTTTATGTTTAGTTATCTATTACTATGTTAATATTTATTAAACTATTTATTTATATTTTATGAAAATTATTTCAGTTTAAGTAGTAATTTAATTTTTAATATTTTTTGTTTAAAAAGAGGTTTTAATAGCACGTGTTAAACATGCAATTTAATATCTTCGCTAATTAAGATTTATTTTTTTATAGAAAAATTTTTTTTAACAATTATATAATAAAATTGAAACTAATAAAAACTAAAATCAGATCAACTATTTTAAAATTTACAGCATTTGTATAACTCGTTTTAGACCCAACATGCAAGTAATTTTAGAAAAAAATATATGTATTAATTAAACATACTAAAAAGAATAATCATAGTTGTATTGAGTATATGATGAACAAAATATAATTTTTGTGCTTAAGCTCAAAAGAGTATTATTTACTACCTAAATGTAACAAGCTAACTAATTCAAGAATACTTTACTCGAAATACAAACACAATGCATGTAACGATGAAATCAAATTGAACAAGACGACTTCTATTATTAAAAAATAATTTCTTTATAAATATTACAAAATAAGAAATTTTTAGGATGTTGCTAATCTTGACTTTTGATTTCATGGTATCATTAAGAAACCATATTTATCATGTTCTACACATTATGTTTTTCACTCTCGTATGTATATATAAATGTTAATTAAACTTTGTAGTAGATATGTCTGCAAATAGACCAGCAGTACAAATTGGCTTATAAACGGCCGCTGAAGTTTACAACTATTTTAGTTTTAGTCTTTAAAATTTAAATTTGAGTCAAGGACTTATATCGTCGTTACCTCATCAATGTCATCTAAAAAAAATCATTATATCACAAATCCCAAACTTTCTTAACTATTTCAAACTCTAAATACTCATTTAAATAAATCTAGAGGTACAACAAATTTATACAACTAAATTAATTTTGTAACAGTTAATTTAATTAATTGATTGATAACATAAGGAAACATATTTAAAAATTTAATGACATGAAAACTATAAAATCTTTAAAAACACCTATGAAAAAAATGTATTCGTCTAATTAATCGAGTGAAACTAATAAAATAACTTATAGTTAATACATCAAATATAAATATATTAACGAGTTATAAATAAGTTTATGATTTATAGGATCTTAATGTGAGACTATCATTTAAATTCAATTTCTTCACTTTTCATAAATATGACACTAGACAAACTTAAAGGAATCATGACGTAATAGCCCCGCAACCTCTAAAAGGCTGACAACAAGTTGCGCAATTCATCATGAAAAAAATCAACAAGAATGTGAACTTGGGCATAACAGTAAATTGTTTATGAAATACCATAGAAACTGACCAAACAAGACTGGTGTAAATAGAGCCAAATTAATTAAAAAATCTTACGTGATACACTTAGATACACAGGATTCAACAACAGTGCAAAAAAACTCAACAAACAAACCAAATTAACTAATCTTCACCATCTAGAAAACCCGTATACACCCTTAAGGTATCTTGTCTCTTACTACCTGTACGGCTATTACGTAAGTATCAGTACAAAAGATTTAGATTTGCAAATTTGTCATATAAATAACTTAAACTAAGCGTTAAAAGACCATCATTTAGAATTAATCCGAAAAAATACATAACAATGATTGACTATCATAATCAATTTCGTTTATGTTTTTGGATTGAAAAATTAAATTAATGTAAGATTAATTACAATCTTAAAATCGATGTTTATTTGTCACCTGAAAAGTTCATTTAAAAATAATATGAATTTTCACCAATGAAAATTCTCTTTTCGGTATACTACAAGTTAAAACCATGTTATTATAATGTTATGCATCGCGTACCACAGTATCTCCATCTACACGACTGTTATAAATAATACGAAAGACGCATTTCTTTTGCTCAATATTTTATGCCACCAGCCATAAAATACAGTTTGGTAATTGTGACAGCGAAGGACCAGCTGCAAATTCAGAATTCACACAATAATAGTTGTGGCCGTACCGAAATGTAATTATAGTGTTTATTATTGAATTTTCTCTATCTTATTTAACAGCATGACTAGCAATCACCAATCACGTAACAATTATCCAAAAAAAATTTTGCTTAAAAAAAACATATAAATTTTATCTATACAAATAGTAATCTATAGTAAATCTGTCAAGGGTTGAGTAGTAACTAAGCACAATCTAATTCGTTGGTCTAGAGGTTAAACGTTTAACGTAATAATCACACAGTATGTTGAGAGTAGTTTTGAAAAGGAAGTAATTATAATCATTTGATCCTTTTAGAAAATTTTTATCCAGTTAGTCATAACTTTTACTAATCATTTTCATTAGAATTCATATTATTTGGTACTTGAAGTAATCATTTCAAGTTCATTGTTGAGTCATTGTCAACGTCTTACATTAAATTAAATAACTAAGTTCGCTTACGGCAATGACTGTTTTATTAAATGGCTGAAACATTTGATTGATTTTAATCTAAAAATAGACAGTTATCTGATTATCAA